ACCCTGTGAATGTTCTGTATTAAGACCCTGACCTTCATTTGTGCCTTCCTACGATTTCATACATTTGTCTAACACTGGCTAAGTGCAAGGTATTTTTGAGACATGGCATAGGATGGGATACACTAAAAAGGTCTTATTCACCAGATGTTTGTGATTTACAACAGAAGGATGAGTCTCAAAACTTATATCTGAGGGGCCTCCCTTTTGGTGCAGCGGTTGAGCACTGGGTGGCAAAGCTGCCCGCAGCCTCTGCAGCGCCGATTCAATCCCCGGCCGCCGGGTGAGGGTCCCACATCGTGCGCAGACCTCTCCTGCCACCTGCTGCTCCCTCAGCAGTGTACTTCGGTCTTTCTGCCTATTCTGCTCCCTACTCTGGCTCTGGTTAATTCTCTCAACCTCCCGCACTTCTGACTGTACCCAGTGCTTGTATAAATAAATAAATCTTTAAAAAAAAAAAACATATCTGAGGAACAATGTGAGCTCTGGGACAAGAGGGGCATAGACCCAGGAGTTGTGTGTGTGTGTGTGTGTGTGTGTGTGTGTGTGTGTGTGTGTGTGTGTGAGGGCAGGTGAGGTGGGGGTTACATTTAGGGAGGCATAGGCAAGCCGAGCCCTAACAGGTGTGCAGAATTTTTACAGAGACTGGCAGCTTTTCTGGACACCATTGCACAGCCCTTTTCCACCTGCTATGTGAGGGCTACTCACCTGAGGCTTGTTTAAATGTGGAGTCTGATTCAGTGTATCTGGGAAGAACTTAAGACTTCTAACAGAGATGGAGCTGAGGCTGCAGGTCAGAGGGTGACTCTGAGCAGCAAGGGCCTAGAGGATATCAGATATGACTTGGCTGGAGAACAGTAGAGGAGGAGAGAAGAACTGAAAAAAGAGGGAGGAGCCAGGTTCCAGGCTGAGGAGATTGAACTATGTTTGGAAGGCAACACAAAATACAACCTCTAAAGGTATTTGGGTCATGAAGTGGGCCAAGCTGGACTTTAGGGAGATTAGCCTGGAAATCACTCAGTTGAGAGACGGAGCAGGGGTAACTGGAGGCAGAGTGATTTGTCATCCATTCATCCATCCATCTGTCCATCCATCCATCCATCCATCCATCTGTCCTTCCCTCCATCCGTCATCTATTCACCACCCATTAACATTTGTTACTACATGCTGTAGTCCAGACCCTGGGGAAGGGTGAAGAAGACCCACCCTTCAGGAATTCCAGAGCCTAATGGGAATGATGCACATATACAATGTGTGCAGGCTGTACAGAAGCAGAGGAGGAGGAGTGGGCAAGAGCTTTCAGTGAGCGGTGGGAATTCCTTAGATGAACAAGAGCCCAATTAGAGAGACACTGCCAGGGTGCTCACAGTACCTGTGGCAGCTGCGGGAGTTTGGGGCTTATGGACTGTCATTTGGACCAGACAGAAGTTGAGAGGTACATTCTAGGTCTTTGATGCAAAGACCTTTCCTGTCTCGCCTGCTGCTCCCCTCAGCAGTGTATTTCAGTGGATCCGCCTGTTCTGCTCCCCACTCTGTCTCTGGTGAATCCTCTCACCCCGCGCCTCTGGCCTGTACCCCAGTTCTTGTATGTATAAATAAATCTTTTTTTAAAAAAATGTTCCCAGAAGAGGGGACAGTGCTGAACAGTGCTACACAAAGAACCACCCCTGCACGCACGTCTCATACACACAACACACACACAACACACTTTACCTTCCTCCCTTCCGTTCCCTATCTTTCTTCCCTCTCCCCCTGTCCTGCCCTGATGAGGCCTTTCTCAGTGGCTTGTCAGATAGCTGCCTCCTGCGGTGTTCTCATGAGGCCTTTCCTTGATGTGCTCACCAGGGAGAGGGGAGTTCTAGTGTCTCTTCCTCTTACAAAGTCCCCAGCCCTATTGGATCAGGGCCCCACCCTTGTGACCCTATTTGCCTTTAATTATCTCTTCTAGGCCCTACCTCCAAAAGCAGTCACATTGGGAGTTAGGACATCAACACATGAATTTGGGGGGGACACAATTCAGTCCACACAGGACCTAAGAAACCCTCTAATCAAGTGCCCTCATTTTACCAATGAAGAAGTTTAGCAAGGTTAGCAGAAGCCCAGAGGTTAGAGGAAGCTCAGAGGAGTTTAGTTGTTTACTAGGGTCACAAAGGTGACTAGAGGCACACTAGAACCAGAAGTAGGTGTAGCAGCTCTCAGTCACGTGGAAGAAAGCACAACTTTCTAGCTGTTGTGGCTGTGTGTGGTGAGGCCTGCCATAAGTGGGCCTTCAGTTACTACGCTCTGTTTATATGTGAGACGAGCTTAGGGGAGAGGGCTCACCTCAAAACCTGAGGGATTTAGTTCAGACCTCAGGAAGACTTCCTGTTTGAAAAAGTTGTGAGTCACTGTAAAGGATGGCCAGTGGCAATTTCGGGGTTTCTTCCTCTGAAAGTGGCAGAGAGTTTGGCAAAGGGGCAGGGAAACAGACTTCACAACTGTTTAGAGATCCTTGTAGACTTTAGTTTCTGTGATGATGATTAGGAATCTACTCAGCTGAAAGCTCCTGCATCCAGAAAGTTCACCAGGAGGAAATTGTCACCAAAAAAAATCTTTCTGTGCATACCTTTCGCCCAATAGCCTGACCTTGGGATTTGAGGGCAGGAGCTGGGCATGTGCAGGGCTGTTTACCTTGGTTAGGCAATGCAGATAAGTTGCCCTGTTTGTATTTGCAGACCGGAGCCAGCATTTGGGTGGGCAAGGTCAGGCCAGAGCAGGTGGGAGGAACTGTGGGAATCGGACACTGGGTCAAGGTCCACTGCAGAGTCTGAGGGTGCAGAGGTGGGAGGCCCAACCCAGCGAAGGGGCCCCCGCCACACTTAGGGTTTTCATCCTTCACTCTGTGTTCTCCTGCACACACCTTTCTCTCTGTTCTTCCTCTCTCCCTTCCTCTCCTTCTCTTACTCTCCCCACAACACACCCTGACAACAAAGTTATGTACTCACTGGTCCATGTTCAAAAGACGTGGTTTTTTTTGTTTTGTTTTTAGGAAATGATGTTTTTAGTGAAAAATAATTTTGGACAATCCCTTTCAGGCCCACAAGTGCCATTTTTAGGAAAACTGGAAACTCTGAGGCCCACCTGGTGAGGTTATCAGAGCAATAGCCATTCTGTACCCTGTCACCTGCTTTGTGTGGATGGACAGGTCTCTCGAGACGCCACACAGAGACTGAAGCATAAATCGGTCTGCTCTGAGCATAGCCTCACTGTCGCCCGTGTTCACTGTGGCCTGGCTCAGTAGAGTAGAGCCAGGGCCCCTTTCCGAAAACTAGGAAAGCAGGAAACAGCAGAAGTCTGGGTTGCTGCCTGCTGCTGAGGCCTCCACCTGCCCCAACCCTGTGAGCACAACTGACTCAAATAGCATCACTCTTTCTCAAGAGTTTCCAAAAGGTTTTTTACAGAACATAAATCTCTTCTCTCGGAACCTGCTTATCCAGTCAGGACAAAGCCCCATTCTCCCCCAACCCCCAAGTCTGTGGTGGCCTTTGTCTTTCTCCCATGGGTCAGTGGAGGATCCTGGGCTGGCAAGTGTTTGCTCCTGTTTGTTTTGGGCTGTGCCCACCCTTAGGGTGTGGGGGGAGGTGAGTGAAGGAAGAGGTGTGTGGCAAGTCCAGGGAGCACAGGACGCACGTTCTGGTCAGTCCCAATTTCAAATATTTGGCCCCACTGTCCCCAGCCAGCTCAGGTGGGGACTGTTGGTTTGGGGAATATGGACAGTAGGTACATAGCCCTCATCCCATGGCCTTTGTTTTACCAAGGAAGTTGGTAAAACTTAAGGACAGAATGGTTTGGCTTCCTGCTGAAGTGGCAGAATCAGTTTCTATCCTTTGGGCTCACCTCGTTAGCCTGGGTCAGTGAGGATTCTCTAGGCCCCTGGACACATGAGAGTGCCAGAGTGACTGCTCATCCCCCAGGTCCCACCCTGTGTGTGACTTACAGCCAGTGCTGGGAGAGGCAGAGCGTGGCCTCTTGCAATGAGCTCTGTGTGCCCTTGACCAGCTTCCTACCCAGCTAGACTGGATACTCAGCAGGTACCTCTCACCCAGCAGTTTGAACCCAGACGTGTGGATGCAGCCTTACCAGTCTGCCGTGTCTCCTAGGGCATCCTCACTCCACCTGACAGGACCCTGGGTGGGACTGGGGACAGCAGATGCCAGAGGACTGATTTTCAGCTCATTCTCACTTGATCACTTGCTGGCTCTGTGACCTTAGACCTTGGCCTCACTAACCGTCACCTTCCTCATCCTTCAGTGGAGATAATCATAGGGCCCACTTCAGAAGTTCATCATGAGAAAGAATTAAGGTCATCCACAGAAAGCCTTCGGGCAATACCTGGCCCAGAAATCCTTAATCCCTGTGCGCTCCTAGCGATTATCTTGAGCGTTGGTCTCAGGACTCCTGAGGTAGAATTATCACCAGGTCAGAGAGCCCTGTTGCACTCCTTCATAATTAAAGCAGCAAGGCTATGTTTGGCTGTGAAGACGTCCAGAGGGTCTTGTTTAGTGAGTCTTGGGTACTTGACTTTGGCACAATCTTACCTTAGAAGGAGTTTTCTTAGCCCTAACCAATAAACTCGGTTTGAGTATATGGACTCCATGTCTTGCCTCCTTAACAAGGTGAGGCTTAGGGGCATTAATGAGACCCCATCACCTCCCAATAGGCCCAAAGAAACCCCAAATTGGAAGGGCCCCCGGGGTCCCTGGACAGGCTGCTTTCACCTCAAATAAGCCAGCTTGATCCCCATCCCAAGTCCCCTGAGAAATGTCTCTGTGTAGTGCAGTGGCTATGAGTGAGACAGTTCAGAGAAAAGACAGTTCAGACAACCCACCCTTTGCACCCCAGCAGGCCCAGGAATTGGGCTCTGGGGGTAAAGCGGGGAGTAGGGCTTTGGATTCGCAAGGCCAGAGCCATGATGTCATTTCTGGCCTATAAGTCACCTTTTGGCTAGACCTGTCCACACCTACCAGGGCCGCCTCCTCCTCAAGGGCAGACGTCAGGCAGGTGAGGAACTGAGACTAAATGAGGAGTGACAGGTGCCTTGAGATAGAAGGATCTTATCGCCCAGGTTGAATGATAGTGGTGTGAACTCCTAGCCTGGCCCCAATGGGATCTTGGTTTCTGTGGGTCCTCTACAAAGCCCTCTGGGAGCTAGGGGCCTCAGAATGGAATGTTCTCAGATCAACAGGTGTGTAACAATTGCTACAAATACTTGCTCAGTGATGTCAGAGGATCAGGGCTGGCCCTGGGCCAGACTAGAAGAGGTGGAGCTGGCTTTGCTCATCTCAGGTTCCCTCTCATCCATTCTGCTGCCCTTTCACATCCTGGCCCTCTTTCTTTTTCCTCTCTCTTGGTCTTGAAACCTTTTCTCAGGAAAAGGGAGTGTGTTTAGACTATAGTGTAATTGACTGATAGCACATCAAAGTTCTGCCAACCTCCTTCCTCTCTTTTTCACAAACTTTTAATGGTCATAATCTTGGACTTCTGAAACTGAGAACATGAGTCCCTGGGCATACTCAGTGTTGGGCTAGGGGCAAGCAAAGCCAGAGGATTAACAAAGTCACCTTCCTGGACATCAATTTAATTAGAAGATGAGAAAACAATTATTTATTGAAGAGAACACAGTATAGGGTAGAAAATTTGCCTGAATTTTAAAGACAAAACAAAAAGTCTTCTCTCCAAATAATATTACATCTGTTTCCTCAAGAGTCAGAGGAGTGTCGGCTCACACTCTAGTCATGGCCAGAGGAGCCCTGGTAACCACAGGCAACCTCCTCAAGTCACTTATAACCTGGACCGACACATCACGGCTTGGTAGTGACTACTGGTCTGCAAGCCTATGCTTTTCTGCACATTCATATTATACTTTTGAAATTAAGGTTAGAATTTCTGTAAGCACAAACCTAGGGCACCCATTCTGAACCTAACATAGAACTTACAGGGCATTTGCACAACGTTCTGCATTTCTGAGCATATGTTTACCTAAAGGCTTAGAAGTTTAAATAAGTGCAAACATGGTGGAGTCAGTGTGAAACTCCAAGTCACAGGGATAAACAGTTGTTGAAAGCTTAGTGGAGAGCCCAGGCTACCAGGACAGGAAAGGGCTGCAAAGACCACAAAGGTGGGCTGAGATATTAACGTGGAAGGAGAATGCTTGCTAGCCTGCAGACACCCCAACGCAGGTGGGGCAGAGGAGCCAGACAGCTGGACAGGAAGCATCAAGAAGCTGTAATCCAGGGCCTCCCTAGTGGCCCAAGGGGTTAAGACGTAGGACTGTGAAGCTATCTGCAGCACAAGTTCCATCCCTCGTGGTGTGGGAGCTACCCACATGGCGCAGCAGATTTCTCCTGTCTCGCCTGCTGCTCCCCTCAGCAGTGTATTTCAGGACATCTGCTTGTTCTGCTCCCTACTCTGTTTCTGGTGAATCCTCTCACCACCACCCACCCCCCCGCATCTCTGGCCTGTACCAGAGATTATGTGAAATAATTCCGAATCTTGGCCCTTGTATGCATAAATAAATAAAACTTAAAAAAAAAAAGAAGCTGTAATCCAGGTTCGAGGGAGCAAGGGCCAGCTGCACTGAGCTCTGCATTGAGCGGGCCAGGACCCTACCCTCCACCCCAGGGCATCCACTGGCCTTGCATCTGTAAAAGTCCGTACATTCAGCCTCTAAGCTGTCCTGCCCTCCCAGGCCATGTTGTTAAATATGTGAATCCAAGCTGCCAAGTCTTGGCCCTTGCCAAAGGGGTCAAAGCCAGTGTCGGGGGCCACGGGACTCCTCCTTCAGGTAGGGAGGCTCTGTGGGTTTCTGCCCCTGCCTCTGGGGCACACAGAGGCAAGAGTGGTTTGTACATTTCCCTCCCTATCAGGGGGCTTGGCTCAGGCCAGGCTGCCTTGGGTACTGGTGGGCAAGCCCGAGAAGTCACCTGGGCCAAGGAAGACTTGGTTCTGCTCTGGAGGGGCTCCTTTCTCTCGTGACCCCTCTGGCCAGAGGGAGGCAGGCAAAGTCTCAGAATTCAGAAGGAGGGGCCAGCAGTTTTGTCTCCCAGGACAGAGCAGGAGGGGACAGTGAGCAGAAAGGTCATAAATGGGAAAATAGGGAGCCTGTGGAATGTTAGGACAGATTGCTGAGAGGCCACGGGGCCAGCACTGGTCTAGTCTGCTAGTCTGGCTCAGACCCAATGTGTACTTCTTTTTTTTTTTTTTCCCCTAAAGATTGATTGATTGATTGATTTATACAAGCACTGGGTACAGTCAGAAGTGCAGGAGGATGAGAGAATTCACCAGAGCCAGAGCAGGGAGCAGAGCAGGCAGAAGGACCGAAGTTCACTGCTGAGGGGAGCAGCGGGCGGCAGGAGAGGTCTGCGCGCCATGTGGGACCCTCCTCCGGTAGCCGGGGAGCAGCCGGGGATCGAACCGGCGCTGCAGAGGCCACGGGCAGCCTCGCAATCCAGTGCTCAACCACTGCACCACCGGGGAGGCCCCCAGTGTGTACTTCTGAGCAAAGAAAATGGGGTCCAGTTTTGACCTATGGTTGGAGAAAAAGTCTAGGCAGCTAGAACGTCATACTCACATGGCAGAATTGCTAGCAGTGTCCCAGCCTCTCCCTTCACGTAGTACAGCATTGCTAGGTTTTAGCCTGCTTTTTCGGCTGACTGTTTATGTGGTTGTTCAGCTCCAGCCAGCTTGCTGTGGTGAGGAGACACTGGTCTCCTACGGCCTGACCTCTCTAGGCACAGATGAGACCATCTTTTCTGAGTCTGGGGGTTATAGATGGCATCTCGGAGGAGGGAACAGTGTGCCAATAAAGTAAGTCAATATATTAAGGACAATGAGAAACAGCTTACTCTCCATCTATGGAGGACTACAAATATGACAAGGAGAAAACTAGAATGCACCCTTCGATGTTGGGTGAGCCACCCAGCCCACACCCTCCTCACCTCCTTACCCTGCCTGGGCCTGGTGCTCCACCCCTGGGGATGGTGGGGCCCTCCACCTGGGCCCTACCTCCTGGCTTTTGGATGACATTGTGTGGGAAGGGAGAGAGAGGAAGCCTATGTGAGCCTTTGCTAGACAGAATAGTCAGTCACCATGGTTTCTGAGACTTAGAAATTAGAGGCGACCGGTGGCAATGCCTCACAGGGACTGAGGCATTCTATATTGGGACATCGGAACCCAATCTGTACCTCTTAAATAGAACTGCCATTTAAGCATTCAAGAGAGAAATGGGTTCCTTTTTCCTCATGCTTCCATTTTAGCTTCAGGCAACACGCGTGACCTTGGATAGGCTACATTTTAATGATCTCATGAGCTTTACGTTTGGTCAGAAAATTTTCCACATCTCCCACCTGGTTATTCACGTTTTCTGGAGGAAGTCTGGGTGCCAACAGCTTCCAGTCTGAGTCACCCACACTCCCTGGCAGCCCTCTCCCAGGGCCTGCTCGTCAGTGGGATGTGAGGGATACAGGGCTATCTTTAGGTTTTCCTCAGACCCCTTTCAGTCCCCACATCTGAGACAGATTTTCTGTTTCCCAGAGAGATATACAAGGTGCCAGCAGACAGAAAAATCTCCAGGTTGATCTCACTCCTATGTGGAATATAGAGAAACATAACAAAGGAACTGGCAAAACTAAACCAAAACAAAGTTTAGAAATGACAGCAGAATTGGGGCTGCTGGGGTGGGGGTGGGGGTAACGTGGGGAGAGGCCCATGGTGCATGGTAAAGGGATACAGATGCTCTGGGGTGGGGTGGGTGTGGTGAAGGCCATCTGAGGAGGTGAAAACCTATTCCTCTGAGTCATGGACAGTGATGCAGACCAATGTCACCTCAAAAAGAAATGAAGGAAGAAAGGACAGGAGGGAGGGAGGAGGAAAGACTCCAGGAAAGATGACCAGGGACCAACCACCCCGATGTCATGAGGCAGGGCCCCACTTACAAGACCAATGGAACTTAAAATCGCACAAATCCCGTGCAACTGGCAGTCACACTCTAGTTGTCTTTGCCTTAAAGAAGGGCTCCCAAATTTTCTAGACTGTGGGCCCTGCATCTGGGCCTGTCCTGGGACTAAAACCACGTGCAACATGACTCCCACTCCCTGGTGTCCAGAGGGGGAAGGACCCTGGGACCCCTGCATGAATGTGGTTCCCCAGGCCCAGTTCAAGTCCAGCTCTGACGCTTATCTGCTGTGGGTGTGGGGAGTTAACCAGCATGGCTGGGCCTCCGTTTCCTCCAATAGTACCTACGTCACCTCATTAACTAATGGGTGTGTGTGTGAGAGAAGAGAGAGAGAGAGAGAGGGAGGGAGAAACAGAGGAAGAGAAAGAAAGAGAAGCAGGAGTAACACTAGTATAGCATTTAGAGGTATTATCTATCCATATTGCTTTCTTTTTTTTTTTTAAGATTTATTTATGCATTCAAGAACTGGGGTACAGGCCAGAGGTGTGGGAGTGAGAGGACTCACCAGAGACAGAGCGGGGAACAGAACAGGCAGACTGACTGAAATACACTGCTGAGGGGAGCAGCCGGCGAGACAGGAGAGGTCTGCTGTGCCATGTAGGTATCTCCCTGGCTGGCTGGGGATCGAACTCGTGCTGCAGTGACTGTGGACAGCCTCATAGGTTGTGTCTCAATCCTCTGTGCCACCAGGGAGGCCCATATTGCTTTCTTGGTACAACACTGTGATGAAGGTCACATGGCCTGCAGCCTTGGGAGTCCTTGATCATCCCCTCATTTTTCAAGGTTATTTTCTTTTAACTTCTTTACCTTGCTTAGGAAGGTTTTTAAAAACCTGTGAAATTTCCAAGCATTTTCATGTGGAGATGGCCCATCTCGATTACTCGTCAGTGTGCAGCTTGGCCTGCCCCTGCCACACACTGGCTGTCACCGGAGCCTACAGCTGTGCACTGTGCTGCCTCCTGGCTCTCTCCTTCACGGAAGGAGCCAACTGGCCCCCGTCCACACAGGAAAGAAAATGAGAGGATGGGAGGGTTGGGAGAGAAGAGGTTTGGGGGCATTCAGGAGGTTGCTGGCAAGGAAAGTGAGGTCAGCAGGAACCAGCTTGTGGAAAAACCCCACAAATTCCAGCTCGCAGGGGACTTTCACCCTGGAGGCAGCTCTGCTTTGGCCTAGAAATTCCAAGCCAACCAGGGCA